GGTTCACCTCATTGGAAGGCGAACACTCTATTCCCTATATTATCATATTGCGTATTATTTATTTCTTCCTTTCAGTAGCTCAAGGCTTTGGTCTTTCTTTAATGTAAATTTCAATACATACTAGTAAAATCTTATTTTAGACAGTAAGCTATATTTCAGACAACCGCTGTGTTAATAGTTTTATTTAGTGACTATTGTGTGCTACACAGTATGGCGCACATTTTGTTGCATTCTTTCAAATATGATGAAATATTTTGTATACATTGGATGACTATGTAGAATATGAAATAAAATGTCTCACACAGATTGGAACACAATCTAAAATATGAAATCTTACGTTTCACACCCTGGGAAGATCATGTAAAATGTGAATTTTATGTGCCACTTATATCCAAACACCGTGTAAAATAAAAAATCTGATACTTCACATTCGTTGAAACACCATGTAAAATAAGAAATCTTACGTCTCACACCCATTTGGAACTCCAAGAAATTTTACATCTCAAATTCATGGGAAAGCCATATCAAATTAGAAATATTACGTCTCACATCCATCGGAACGTCATGTAAAATAAAAAATCTTGCGTCTCACACCCATCACAACACGGTGTAAAATAAAAAATCTTACGTCTCACACCTTTGTCCTACCATGTAAAATATGCTGTCTAATGTCTCAAATTTATTGAAATACCACTTTCAGAATAAATAAAAAAGTTATACTATCTGTCTCTATCTTTTATTGTGAAAAAAAAAGGGTAAAAGAAAATGGCTATACGTATGTGATGGATTTGTTTTGTTCGAATGTTTACTGTAATTACTAAATACTTTATAAAGTGATAATATTTTACACAATTTAATAGATTGTTCCTTATGAAATAAAAAATCTATGGTATTTTGCCTGAAAAAAGAGGATTCAGTCTTTAACTATCATAATTTGCTCGTTTTTATAATTATCTTAATTTTAACGAAAAGTAAGGATATTTATTCAATTTATTAAGTTAAGCACATTTCTATAGCCTATATTACTCGTTTAAACTGTAATATATGCCAAATGTTAAAAATGTTTGACAGAGTGAATGAATAAAGAAAAATGTAGGTAGGTATGTAGTTTAATTGCGTCGCACTAGAATTGCACAATGGGCTATTGGCGACGGTCTGGGAAACATACCTGAGGATAAATGAATAAAGAAAAAAAGGAATGAATCAGTTAATGAGAACACGCAAGCATTATTTGCTGATTTAATTAATTACCCGTTAATTTTATTCCTATTAGGAATAAAACTAATGGGTAATTAATTGAAACAGCAAATCGGTGAGACAATTTATTAAAAATGGGTAAAAAAATAAATATAAATAAATAATCATAAAATATTGTAAAAATTATAAAAATTAATAATCATAAGAAATCTTTCAACTTTAGTTTGAATAAATCTATGTTTAAAATTACAATTTGTTATTTTTTAAGCAAAAATTCCCTACAGAGAAAATTTTCAATTAATAAAGAAAAAATTCCCTTTATTGGCCGATGTTTCATTTCTAAAACACGTGACATACCGTTAGACGAAATTTTTTTTCGTTTCAAGTTTTGATTCTTAGTGATAATTAATGATGTAAATATTAATTATGTTTCAAATTTTAAATCATCCGTATTATAACATTGTTTGAAAGTAATTCATCAAGTAATATTCTTTGATCTTGCTTTTATTAGTGTCCGCAAATTTCAAAATAGCATTGACTTCCTTTAATAATAATGATTTTAAAAAAATTTCAAAGCTTAAAATTAATTAATTCATTAAAATAAAGCAAATCCACATTCAAATTAGATTAAATTTTCAGCCAAATTTGATAGAAATCCTTCCCGATAAAACAATTTTTATCTCTTACGAATAAAAATCCAATTATCACAAAAATTACGAAACGAATACCATTGACTGCAAATATTAAGTTAAAAGAAATCCTTAAAACGAGAGAAAAATAAATGACAATTCTAAATAGTTTTTCCCTTTCCGAATTAAACTTTCGTATTAACAATTTCCCTCGCTGTACTCTGTAATTTCAAAAGTACCCTAAAAGCGCTAGGCTATCGGTCTTTAACAATAATGAGTTTTCGCCGCTTTTAAAACTTCAAAAATTTCTACCGAAATGCTTTGCTGGTTTGCGACCAGTAATTGGAAACAAATTGCTCGAGAGTTAATTTTTTTCCCTTTTTTTTCCCCACTCATTTCAAAAATACAGATGGAGCCAAGTAGAGGGGAAAAAAGTTATCAGCAATAATCACAAAGACGCCAATGAACTTCGCCAAGTGCTTTCCCAAGTAAAAATTTAATAGCTTTAAGGAAAAAGAGATTGACTCTTTCAAGAAGAGCTTTTGAAGGATGCAAGATTAGAGGAGTTGCCGAGTTGGAAAAAAAAATATATTTGATAGAAAAACGGCCTTTTTATATATCTATATATGTGTAATCGAGAAATAAGATTGAATCGCTATTAAACAGGTTTTCGCGTCAGCAAAAATGATTTTTTTCTTTTTTGGCAAAAGAAATAATTTTCTTTTTCTCTTTTTTCTGGCAAAACGTTAAGGGCTTTTGTTGAATCATAGCTTTAAAATTTCTTTTACTTTTCAAAGGTATGCCAACTGATTTTGGTTACGGGTATTTAAATTCAACCAGAGGCAAATATAGTTTTTTTTTTGTTTTTTGAAAATCTTATTTAAATGAGTGCGAAAATTAATTGCACGATGACGTATCATTTTCCTGTATTTATTTTTTGAAAAATGTGAAAAGAAAATTGAAAAAATGTTCTACTAATTAACAAAATTTAATGAATATGAAAGTCGTATCTGATAAGACCAAAATTAGAAGTATATTTAAGGTTCTTCTAAAATTAATTGGAACTGATTGGAGTGTTGTCAGTTAAAAGTAACTCAAACAAAGAACATGAAATATGACATCTAATCTGTCTGTGGGAAAAATGTATTGTAAATATTTAATTTCTATCATACAAATTTTAATGAAGAAAAGTTCTGATATTTATATCTCTATTGTTGCTATCATGCAATACAAAAAATGTATGAAAATTTTCTGTTGTAATATTTTATTACCATCGTAAAAATTTTCCCTTAAATATGAAAAAATATGAATGAAAAATCATAATATGAAAAATTGTGAAATGTGAACGAATGTGAAATTTTATTGCTTGATAACATCTCATGTTTTTGTACTTATTTAAAAGAAGCGAAAGGAAATTTTTAAAAGCTTAAATGATTAACAAATTCTAATGAATATGAAAATCGTATCTGATAAGACCGAAATTCGAAGAATATTTAAAGTCTTTTTTTTAATTGATAAGGAACTGATTGGAGTATTGTTAGTTAAAAATAACCGAATCCGATAATTTGATAGCTTACGTAACTACCTGGCAAACTTTACTAAAAATATGAAGAAAAGATTCATAGTCATAAATTTTAAAATTAGTTCGGCTTGTTCACCGATAAAGAAATTTCATACCCTCATAAGCATTTACATAATACAATGTTAAAATTAAATTTTCGTAAATTGTAACTTTTACCTTTGTGCTCTTGTTTAAACCTCAACTAAGGCAAAGGGAGATTTTAATCAAATGTTGCTACAAATGTAAAAATAAAATTTAAAGTAGCTTGAAGCTTAAAAAAAAACGCTATTTTCCAATTTCTTAAGCAAGTAAGCTAATTACTATTTTCAAAACATTTTTTTTTCGTTAAAGGCTATGACTTCATTAAGTTTAATTTTGACGTACAATTAGAGATATACATAAATTAAAAACTGGTTCATAAAATGTATTCTAATTTATCAAAACGCCAAAGAAATTTTACGATTAAATGAATTACTTTTGTTCAAGTTAAATACATGATTAAATAGGATAATGATTTCTTTTTTAAAAAAAATACATATTTTTTTTACAAAAATTTACCTTGTGTACTGAAGCGAAACTTTGAAAAATCTCCGTACTTCTTTTTCCCCTTTCATAGTCTTTTCAATTTCAGTGAGAAACTTTCGGCGATTTTTTTTCTTCCTCAAGACAATAATAAATGAACTTCTAAGCTGAAAAAATATCCTTTTCAAGCGGGTTGCGGTTGAAAAAGACTAATTAATGCTAAGCTAATGATGAAGCCTATACTTCGGGGGTAAAATAAAGTTTTTCCTCTAATTCTTTCACCTATTCATTAACTATTTCTTGTGAATTATGTTAGTTAACACGTTGTTCCTCAATATTCCACCGCTAATTCTCTTACGTCTAGTCGCCTTGCGCAGATTTTGTTTTTTTTCTGTGGTTTCCTTATTTTTCTGAGGCTATGCATTTGCCTGAGGAATAAGTTGAGCCTTAAGTTATTAAGATTAATGGACCAGTATAAAAATTCTCAAGTTTCGGAAAGCAATTTATTCAGCTATTATATTTTTTAATTATTTATTTTTTTCATTCGCTGGCCTTAGGAAAGAAATTTACTCTAACGCGTTTAATTCGGTTGAAAGATAAGATATGAACTTTTTAATGTGAAAACGTGGCTAATAAATAAAGTAAAAAATAACAGATATTGTTTTTTTTATACGTTTCTAGAAAAGTTTCGTGGTATGCAGTAATGGTATGGAGTGTTTTTAACCATTAATTTTTATTAGCGAAAATTATTAACATATTTTAGTGCATTTAACTAAACTTATTGTTGATAATAAAATTGGTGAAAAAAGTTATGTCTCGGTTAATACTGTGTTTGGGTATCTAAATACTTATTACGAGGGGGGTTGATTCATGTAACAATTTCAAGCGATTATATTTTAGTTTTTGAGAAAGTTTTAGTACTTTTACGTAATGACAGCTCCTTACAAAGGGTGTTTAAAAATAACTGCTAATTGTTGACCTTCTGGAGAGCATACTGTTTGAGTGAATGGGACTTAATTTTGTACATGATTATAATTATACACATATGCACTGGAGAATGCTGTTATAAGCAATTAAGTAAAATATCTTACCATGTATATCTAGTTTAATCCATTTAACCATAGGCGCTAATGTAGCATTACTTTGAACTCGGCACTCGAGTTTGGATTCTAAGTCCCATCTAGAAAGCACAAATCTTGCTGTAACTATGACGTCACTGGCCCCATCTTCTCCAGTTTGGACATGGCTTTTAGCTGACAATGACTTTGTTGCATTCCAGAGAGTGACCAGGGGTGGTGGTCGACCTCCCGACGACCGACAATCCAAAATGAAAGTTGATCCTTCTGTATAGGGTCCAAGGGTTGAGGCATTTTGGATTGGCGAACCATCGACGTACAATTCTGGTGGTTTAGGCTTCACTAGAATCAAAAGGAAAGAAATTGGGTTTGTTATTAAATTAATAAAATGTACTATTTTTACTATAAATAACGCAGAAAAATTTCCATTTCTTAGTTTTAAGTACATAAAACTGAAACTGCAAAATCCCTTAAAATAGACCAACCACTTTGCAAGATTTAAGAAGAAAATAATCAAATGTTAATGTTGTAAAAATTGTCGAGACATTGTTTTTGTTGGTATTTTTCATTTTGATCTGGTTAACTGATTAAACTGATTAAATAATATAGTAATTGTCTTAGAAAAAACTATACGGCTGTCATTATTCACATATTAAAATATAAATAAATTATTGTTCTACAACTAAAATAATATTCGAAATTTTATAAGCGCCAGAACAGAAAGAGAAATCTGACCAAGATTAATAATAACGGTTTGTTCGGAAGGTTAGACATCTGAAATTCAGTAGAAATTTTAATGGAAGTAGTAATTTTGGTGCTCAACAACATATGCCCCTAATTAAATGCTAGTGCAAAACTATTTTGGACTTGACAAGTGACGTGATTATTGCACATATTTTATATGATTAAACATCTTAAATGCGCATAATTTTGCATAGTTTTGAAAAGGATTCCTGCAGTGCATGGCAGAATTGAATATGAAGTTAAATTTTTTAAAAAAGGGAATTAATTGGAAAATGGGAGGAGTTAAGTAAAAAATGAAGTGAAAATGAATGAAGTGATGTTGAAAAAATATGCCGAGATGAAAATTCAGTTTTCACATTAAAAAAAGATAATCTGCTCATAAATGACAGCTTTTTCATATTTTAATTTCTTTTCTCTATGGGTAATATACAAGACGTGGTTGCTCACGGGATAGAGCGCTTGCCTCCCAATGAAGCGAAACGGATTTGAATCCCAGCAATGGTTGGTTGATTCGAATTAAATACCCGGCTAGCACCGACCGCAGTGCTGACGTAAAATATCCTCAGTGGTAGACGGATCATGGGTTAGATTCCCCTTGCCGTCAGGCTAACAGTGGGATATTTTCACCATGTAACNTGGCTCACGGGATAGAGCGCTTGCCTCCCAATGAAGCGAAACGGATTCAAATCCCAGGAATGGTTGGTTGATTCGTATTAAACACCCGGCTAGCATCGACCGCAGTGCTGACGTAAAATATCCTCAGTGGTAGTCGGATCATGGATTAGATTCCCCTTGCCGTCAGGCTAACAGTGGGATATTTTCACCATGTAACGCAAATGCAGGTTAGTTCTATCAAAAAGTCCTCTACGAAGTAAATTTCTCCGAATACTTGATCCAGGAGTTCCCTGAACTTTCGGATTGGGTTCAAAATTACAAGGCTACGGAGTTGAACATTGGTAGTCGTAAACTCTAAATTGAGTTGGCTGTTCAACAATGGTCATAATATGTGTGCTATACTGGATGTCTACTAAATGGATGAGAAACTTTGAACGTAAATTAAAAAAAAAAAATGGTTTGAGATAAAAATGCACTGTTTGTACATTGCTATTAAAAATGCAATAAATTTCAAAAAATACATAGCGCTAAATATAGCTTAAAATTTCCCATATAGATGGCGGTGGTCGCTAAAAACTAAATAATAATAATTTTAATACAGTCTACCTTTTCGGTAATAATATGCCATTGTCTGAAAACAAATTTTGCACATACACGTGACTTGCAGTAGAAACGTTATTTTCAACGTCCTCAAGAGTTTGGAATTCTGGATGGTACACTCCGCTTTCAAATGTCCCCTCAGAAAGAAATTACAAGCATTTAAATCCGAAGAATAGGGATGCCCGTTTCTGCTTCTTACGTTTATTCCTTTGACAGTATTTGGAACTATTTTGAACGTCATGTATTTTTTTAAATTTATTGTTTTTCTTATAACAATGCAGCAAGCGGCCTATTTTTTTAAAACTCTCAAACCGTGCTTATTTTATTTTATTTATAAATTTTTTTAAGGTTCAAAATGTCATTTATTTATCGAATGGTCTGTATATTTCAGATTTTTTATCAATTTAGAGCAAAAGTACTTTGATTTTTATATACATACACTTTACTCCTGATATTTTTAAAAATTTAAAATAGATACGATAGATAATAATTTTGCATAGTTTTCTCCTGTTAGTAGTCTTTTATTCTACCACTAACCCCGCAGTCTACAATATCCCTAACTTTAACGCAAATCATCTTTTTAATTATTAAGTAACAAAATATGTCTAAATAACAGTAACGCTAATTAGGAGGAACCAAATAATATCCCTTTAAATAAAATATACCATACCTCCTTCCAGTTTTGAGTTGTTCCCCATAACCGGATATGATACGTATATGGTAAAAACTAACTCTAAATTTGAAACGGGGAAATACTTTTATGGTAGACGGAAATTTACTACAGCCGCTCTTAAACAACAGATGCCTTGAACACAGTTTCTTCTCAAATGCGCGAAACAATCGTTATGAGGATATTGCGTGCCATAACATATGTATAAACTATGACAACACCCATTCATTGTCTTTAATGCTAAAGTTTAAATACAGCAGAAACGCTATAACGGTGGAAGAATTTTGAGTAGTTTTAAGTTTCTAATAACCTGTTAGCTAGAAAGTATAACTGTCGTAAAACAGCAACAGTCGTATATGAACGTGAACTGAGAGTTCTAGATAGTGTGGAATAAATTTGCCATTTTTGTATAATTTGTGCTGAAAGCTGTGTAGAAAAATGTAACGAACTGTTAAAAATTTTTGTAATAACAACGAAGAAAGATTTTAATATAAAAATGAGATATTTAGTGAAACAAATACACGGAATGAAGTAAAACAGTTTTAACTGTAAAAAAAAAAAACAGTAAAAACAGTTTTTTCCTTTTTGCGGTCCTAACCTTTTCCTGGTTATGGTAGTCAAATGATGTATATCGTATGATAATTTTATTTTCATGTTATATAGAAACATATGGCTTATTAAAAATCTATATATATATATTTCTCTTACACGGCAACAAAAAAAGCCTCATTACAACTCCCCGAATGGCAACGTTAGAAACTTGACCAATGATAGCCGCTAAAAATGTCACATGCCAAATCTAGCTGAGGTGGCTCAACATATAGCGCTTTTAAAACGGAAGCTGAAATAACCAGAGAGAGTATTCTCACCAATTGTGATCTCTTCCGAAATTCATCTTATCAGCTACGGCAATCTCATACTATTAAGCTAGGCAGAAGTGAGTAGTCTTTGTCGATAGATCTCCATTTTAGTATTTTGTCGAAAGCGCTTTTTTTCACGAATTTATGTGTTACGAATTAGTTTGACGATTTTTGATTTATATCACGAATTATATTATAGCACATTTCTAATACGTTTAACAAATTACATGTCAATTATTTGACTTCAAATTTATTTTAATGACTTAGTATTTATTAAAAAGATGTAATTTTTTAAAAAAAAAAAAGTTGTTAGATGAATTTGAAGAATTACTGTGAATTCTTAGAATTTTGTGCATTTGCAATGCAACTAAGTTAGTAGCGAGCGAAGCGAGTTTGGTTTGCAAAGCAAACCATATAAGATTGCGTAACAATTTTCGGGGGTTGGCGAGCGTTAGCGAGCAGCGGGCGCAGCCCACTAGTAAAATTTAATTTTTTTAAACTTTTTAGTGATTAAAAATAAAAATAATGCACGAGTCAAACCGCGCATGAGATAAAAATTCGAAAAACAGACGAGAAAAGCGAAGCAAACAAACAGATTTTTATGATCTTATAACCGAATGGTGTGGAGAATTTTTTTTGCGCTATCAATATATAAGAAAAAAATAAGTAGGATATCATATGTCATATTTAAGGACTATGTGGAATATCAATACAATTCTTGCAATAATGTTCAACAGAAACCAGCATTTCATTAGACTATGATTTGACTTCATTAATTATTTTATAACTAAACCCCTTTATACCATTTGAATAATTTAGTATTTGTTAGGCTTAATGCTATGATCAACATGTAGCAACATTTGGTAAGATTACAGATACAGTGATTGAAGGGGTGCGAGGAAGGTCATGCTCGTTTGGTTCCCCATGCAAATACCTCCATTACAGTCCTTTGAATACTCGAGAATTTATGCGGCCTCCTGATTACGGACACATAATCAGTGTCCAGAACTCAATGGAGACTTTGGAAACGTCACGAGCGCTAATGTTCTATTATTCCTTAAAGCCGAGCAGGTGGATGCACCTGTAATGCAAGCATCTGAAAATGGACGGACGTTTGGAATCCGCTACTGCACACACTGATGAGTTCGATTCTGGCGCGGGAGATGATTGCTCAACGGGAAGATAATGAAAACGTGTGAAATATTCTATCCTATAGAAAATTTACTCGATTACTATTCTGCTTCCAATGATATTTGTTTCTGCTTCTTACCTTATTTTAGACTATTTTCTTTACATAATATCACCCGTACATTTTAAACACTGCTAGAATTTTAATTCAAAAATTATCGGCAGTAGTCTATTAACCATAAAGTTTTAGGAACATTTTCCTCTCCTTAACAGCTTGAAACCATTAACATACCTTTCTGAGTTGTAATGAATGACGACTTAACACGTCCTCAATTTTGTCTACACTAGTCCCATATCTGGTCCACACTATCGCCTTGTAGTGAGACTGGCGTGGACAAAAACAATCATTTAAAAAATATATAAATATATATTGTGGTAAAAAAACTAAACAGCTTTTTATGTAGAGATGTAAGCTGGAATGAAGTATAACATCCTATTTATTGTTAAAAAATATTTTATGCGTTAAAAATTATATCTTATAAGGTTTTTCGATAAATTCGTTAAAAATGTCCACATTTGACCCCATCTTCCCTTCTAAGTTCCCATTAATCTATCAAATATTATTTCGGTGTCTTCAAAATAACTTTTAAACTGAAGTGGGAGCCAATTTTCCCCCATGAACTGATTTGTATTGAGGAAAAAGACTTTACCACAGGAATAAAAAA